GCCTTCCAGGGTCTTATCTGAGATGCCAAGGCATCATTCCTAGGGTCTTGAACCTCTGCACTGCCCAGCCCAGTGCCCATACCATCCGTTCTTTGGCTCACTAGCTTGGACGTGCATCAGAATCGCATCTGAGAAGTGTCAGGTCAGGTGTCTTTTACAGCCTCCTTACAGGTTGTATCGGTGGCTGTGCCGTGCAGTCATCCCTTGTAACCGCTCGGGACTTGTGAGAATCTAAGAAGATTCTGAACATAGCATTGTCTCCCATCCATCTTAGCAATTTTGTGGGCAGTTCTTGTCCCAGGCCATTCTGTTAGAGTGTCTTTTCAGGCTCCTCAGAGCCTCCTCCGTTCAGTCTCGCCGTATCCTCCGTCTTCTCGTGCGGCAGCACATCCGTTTTGGCGTCGTTCCTTTCTCAGAGCTCTCTCTCCTGGTTGCACCACAGCCCTTGTCTGGAAATGTGTCCTTGGAGTTTGTGTTGGGCCTGGAACTGCTCTGCCCTGCAGTGTAGACTTGGGGGTAGGTGGAGTAGAAAGGAGACCTCCCAGTTCCCCTGTGATAGGCTCAGGCACTGAGGGCAGGGCCTTAAAGTGAGGGCAGTGTTTGTTTGTGCAGGTTGTCTTTGGACCCCAGAGGGCTTGTCTAAGGAGAAATTAGAATTGCACAGCAGTTAAGGTCCCCCTGTGTATGTGGCTGACTTTGCTAACTCATTTCTTTGCAGCGTCAGAGGGACTGGATGTAAAGCAGAGATGAACAGAGGAGGCTGGAGGAGCACAGTCAGAAGGTGGGTCCTCATGTGAGGTCAGAGCCAAGACATGACTTTTGGCCCTTGGTTTACTGATCATTTGGATGGTTTGGTGGTTTAGTTTAGTTTTTTTATTTTTTTTTAAGATGCAGAGCCCTCAGCCCAGCAGACGACAGGCACCAGAGGGAAGGTGAGCCCGGTGAGGAAGGTGAGCAGTGACTGCAGGAGAAAACTAGCTTCTCTTTTGCAGGTGGTGTACTTGTGGTGAATCTGCGTACATACTTGGTTTTTTGTTTTCCAGGCAGTGCACAGACTTCTAACGTGCAGTCCAACGTGACGGGGACCCTGCCTGTAAGAGGTCACGGTCAAGGGGTGTCAGACAGAAGCTGCCACGGGAGCAGCAAACTCTTGGGCAGTATCTCAGTACTCACAGTTGCCTCTGGGATTTTTTGCAGGAGATGTACACAGCCTCACAGGGCCGAAGCCAACTCACAGTGAGGTGACGGACACAGTTTGGTCCTCTGGAGCTGCCCTTGTAGGTGATCTCCGAGTATTGAAAGGATCAGCAACGAAGCACTGAGCTTTTTGGATTGCAGGTGCCATCCGGGTAACCTTTGGGAGCAGATGAGCATTGGAGGTGAGTCGGGGAGGCAGCAGGAGGAGCGGGGATCCACTGCAGCTTTAGAGATGCCCTCTAATTTTGTCTCTCTCTCTCTCTCTCTCTCTCTCTCTCTCTCTCTCAGGTATCCCAGAAGATGACAGCACGTTGTCCAAGTCTGGTCAGAGTCAGCGACCCAAGGACCTGCCTGGGTGACAGTGAGTAGAGGGATCGTGGGGGCTGGGGCCTCGTGCCACACTACTCAGATCTGGTGTCTGGTTTTCTTTCTCACAGCTGACTCCGAGTAGTGTGACGATGGCAGGAACCTCTGAGGCAGCCCTGGTGCCCCTCCTGTGCATCCAAGATGGATTGGCATCCCCTGCTCTCGGCAAGATAAGTGCAGGGCAAAGACCCAGAGAGGGGTTGGGAGTGGGTGCAAGTGTGTGCCTCACCTGGAGGGAGTTTTGCAATTAGTCTGGTGCAGGGGGTATCCTGGGACAGGTTATTTGGACACATCAAAGGAAGGGCTTTTTTTTTATCATGGGATGCCCGTGTGCAGGGCAGAGCAGTTCCAGTCTGTGTCATGTCCTTTGTCTGCTCCGTGTTCTGTGTCACGTGGTGTGTGTGGTCACAGGTGTGGGGTGTGTCACTTGGGGTCAGCCTGGACCTGCTCTGCCCTGCTCCGTGGATCAGTGGGTAGATGGAATATTGCTCAGAGTCTGACATCAACATGTCAGTTCGCTCAGACAGTCGAGCCCATGGCTGTACGGTCCTGCCAGATGGAGCAGGGGTCCCTAGCTCGGGGGTCCCTAGCTCGGGGGTCCCTAGCTCGGGGGTCCCTAGCTCGGGGGTCCCTAGCTCAGGTGCAGTCGTGTGCAGTGAGCTCATCCAGCAGCTGGGCTTCAATGGGATAAGAGCTCTCCCTTTCTTTCATTTAATGGGACTTCTTAAGTTATTCCTGCTTTATAGAAGCATCAGCTTTGGCATCCAAAGCAGCAGAGCTGTAGATGGCAATGAAGAGGATTACACTCAAATGCAGGGGTTTTAAATTTAATAACTTTGTATTGGTAAACTGCTTTTATTTTTTTTTTTTCTTTTCCTTAGGAGCCTTGCATCTTTTGGGATCTCCTGATCATCTCGACTGCAGCTTGGCATTTTTTCACCAGTGTGATCCAGTCCTCAGGTGAAGCTGCTCTGTGTTGAAGATGCTACAGACACCCAGGTGTGCAAGTAGTCAGTGGGGGGTTACAGCCCAGAGATGGAGGGAGAACTGGGGTGCCAGCTTAGGAATTGCCAGGGGTGTTTTGAAGGTAGTATGGGTGGAAAGCAGTGTCCAGGAGCCCCCTAAATGCCTGTGAAGGCACCCACTGACTTTTCAGATGTGCCACTTAAGTTTTCCTCTCCTTCCCCCAGATATTCTGTGCCATCACAGCTGCAGTCTTTGGCTGCAGGCAGTGACCCTGGGTGGTTTGCCTAAAGAGAAGGGAGACTCTTTGAGCTCTCCCCCTCTATCTGGGTGACTTTGGTTAGGGTTTCTTTACCATTTCAGAGGGACAGGGTGTAAAGTAGAGTTGAACAGAACATAGGCCAGAGGAGCAGAGCAAGAAGGTGGGTCATCACCTGATGGCAGCACAAAGATGTGGCTTCTGGCTCCACGTTTACTCACTGTGTTAAGCATTTTCTTGCTTTGCTTTTTGTTTTCAGCTGCAGAGCCCTGGGCCCAGGAGGCTCTAGGCACCGGAGGGGAGGTGATCCAGGTGAGTCCCGGTGAGCAAGGTGAGCATTGACTCCAGGACAGAACTGGATGGTCTTTTACAGGTGTTGTGGTGAATCTGTGCACATGCTTTGTTTCTTGTGTTTTCCAGGGGTTCTGCCACCTTCTCACAGACAGTCCAGTGCTTCAGGGCCCCTGCTGGTAAGAGGTCACTGTGGAGGAGAGGTAGGTGGGAGGTACCCCAGGAAAGCCATCCTTTCAGGCAGTACCTCAGTCTGTACATTTGCCTTTGGCTTTTTTACTTTGCAGAGAATGTGTGCAGCCTCAGAGGGCTGGAGCCACCTGCCAGTTAGGTGTGATGGTCTTCAGCTGTCCTTGTGAGTAATCTCCTAGTACTACCAGGGTCATCAATTAAGGCTGGAGCTTTCCCAGCTGCAGGTGCCATCCAGCCTGCCTTTGGCCAAGGAGGAGCACTGAGGTTGAGTCAGGGAGGTGGGGAGGAGGTGCTGGGGTCTCCCTTACTTTCAGAAACACCCCGTAACTTTTTTTCTCACTCCCCCAGGTATGGCACACGGTGATGGCAGCAGCCTCCGACTGGGGTCGGAGCCAGTGGCCCGAGAACCTCTCAGCTCAGGGGAGGGTGAGTAGCCAATTGCAGGGTTATCTCCCACGTGCTGCCCAACTCTTGTCTCAGTTTCTGTTTTCTTTCTCCCAGCGACCGAGTCAGGGATCACAGGACCCTCTGAGCCAGCCGGGCGTCCTTCCTTCACATCGAAGATGGATTCACATCCCCAGCTGTGGGAAAGATAAGTGGAGGGCTCCCACCTGGAGAGGGGATGGGAGCTGGGTCCAGTTTTATGGTTAGGAGGGAGGGATTGTCAAATGAGCAGAGGGGAAAGGGTCTGCCCTAACAGGCCCTTGGCACACATAGGAGGAGCAGTTTACTTTTCATCATGGAGTAGGATGTGCAGGGCAGAGCAGTTCAGGTCTGTGTCGTGTCCTTTGTCCGGTCTGTGTTTCGTGTCTTACACTTCACAGTCAGGGTGTCTTTGCTTCCTACACTCCAAGGTCTTATCTGAGATGCCAAGGCATCATTCCTAGAGTGTTGAACCTCTGCACTGCCCAGCCCAGTGCCCATACCATCCGTTCTTTGGCTCACTAGCTTGGACGTGCATCAGAATCACATCTGAGAAGTGTCAGGTCAGGTGTCTTTTACAGCCTCCTCACAGGTTGTATCGGTGGCTGTGCCGTGCAGTCATCCCTTGTCATCCCACCTGGGACTTGTGAGAATCTAAGAAGATTCTGAGCATAGCCTTGTCTCCCATCCATCTCAGCAATTTTGTGGGCAGTTCTTGTCCCAGGCCATTCTGTCAGAGTGTCTTTTCAGGCTCCTCAGAGCCTCCTCCGTTCAGTCTCGCCGTATCCTCCGTCTTCTCGTGCGGCAGCACATCCGTTTGGGCGTCGTTCCTTTCTCAGAGCTCTCTCTCCTGGTTGCACCACAGCCCTTGTCTGGAAATGTGTCCTTGGAGTTTGTGTTGGGCCTGGAACTGCTCTGCCCTGCAGTGTAGACTTGGGGGTAGGTGGAGTAGAAAGGAGACCTCCCAGTTCCCCTGTGATAGGCTCAGGCACTGAGGGCAGGGCCTTAAAGTGAGGGCAGTGTTTGTTTGTGCAGGTTGTCTTTGGACCCCAGAGGGCTTGTCTAAGGAGAAATTAGAATTGCACAGCAGTTAAGGTCCCCCTGTGTATGTGGCTGACTTTGCTAACTCATTTCTTTGCAGCGTCAGAGGGACTGGATGTAAAGCAGAGATGAACAGAGGAGGCTGGAGGAGCACAGTCAGAAGGTGGGTCCTCATGTGAGGTCAGAGCCAAGACATGACTTTTGGGCCTAGGTTTACTTGATCATTTGGATGGTTTGGTGGTTTAGTTTTGGTTTTTTGTTTTTTTTTAAGATGCAGAGCCCTCGGCCCAACAGATGACAGGCACCAGAGGGAAGGTGAGCCCGGTGAGGAAGGTGAGCAGTGACTGCAGGAGAAAACTAGCTGCTCTTTTGCAGGCGGTGTACTTGTGGTGAATCTGTGTACATCCTTGGTTTTTTGTTTTCCAGGCAGTGCACAGACTTCTAACGCGCAGTCCAACGTGACAGGGACCCTGCCTGTAAGAGGTCACGGTCAAGGGGTGTCAGACAGAAGCTGCCACGGGAGCAGCAAACTCTTGGGCAGTATCTAAGTACTCACAGTTGCCTCTGGGATTTTTTGCAGGAGATGTACACAGCCTCACAGGGCCGAAGCCAACTCACAGTGAGGTGACGGACACAGTTTGGTCCTCTGGAGCTGCCCTTGTAGGTGATCTCCGAGTATTGAAAGGATCAGCAACGAAGCACTGAGCTTTTTGGATTGCAGGTGCCATCCAGGTAACCCTTGGGAGCAGATGAGCATTGGAGGTGAGTCGGGGAGGCAGCAGGAGGAGCGGGGATCCACTGCAGCTTTAGAGATGCCCTCTAATTTTGTCTCTCTCTCTCTCTCTCTCTCAGGTATCCCAGAAGATGACAGCACGTTGTCCAAGTCTGGTCAGAGTCAGCGACCCATGGACCTGCCTGGGTGACAGTGAGTAGAGGGATCGTGGGGGCTGGGGCCTCGTGCCACACTCCTCAGATCTGGTGTCTGGTTTTCTTTCTCACAGCTGACTCCGAGTAGTGTGACGATGGCAGGAACCTCTGAGGCAGCCCAGGTGCCCCTCCTGTGCATCCAAGATGGATTGGCATTCCCTGCTCTCGGCAAGATAAGTGCAGGGCAAAGACCCAGAGAGGGGTTGGGAGTGGGTGCAAGTGTGTGCCTCACCTGGAGGGATTTTTGCAATTAGTCTGGTGCAGGGGGTATCCTGGGACAGGTTATTTGGACACATCAAAGGAAGGGCTTTTTTTTTATCATGGGATTCCCGTGTGCAGGGCAGAGCAGTTCCAGTCTGTGTCATGTCCTTTGTCTGCTCCGTGTTCTGTGTCACGTGGTGTGTGTGGTCACAGGTGTGGGGTGTGTCACTTGGGGTCAGCCTGGACCTGCTCTGCCCTGCTCCGTGGCTCAGTGGGTAGATGGAATATTGCTCAGAGTCTGACATCAACATGTCAGTTCCCTCAGGCACTCGAGCCCATGGCTGTACGGTCCTGCCGGATGGAGCAGGGGTCCCTAGCTCTGGGGTCCCTAGCTCAGGGGTCCCTAACTCAGGGGCCCATAGCTCTGGGGTCCCTAGCTCTGGGGTCCCTAACTCAGGGGTCCCTAACTCAGGGGTCCCTAGCTCGGGGGTCCCTAACTCAGGGGCCCATAGCTCAGGGGTCCCTAGCTCAGGTGCAGTCGTGTGCAGTGAGCTCATCCAGCAGCGGGGCTTCAATGGGATAAGAGCTCTCCCTTTCTTTCATTTAATGGGACTTCTTAAGTTATTCCTGCTTTATTGAAGCATCAGCTTTGGCATCCAAAGAAGCAGAGCTGTAGATGGCAATGAAGAGGATTACACTCAAATGCAGGGGTTTTAAATTTAATAACTTCGTATTGGTAAACTGCTTTTATTTTTTTTTTCTTTTCCTTAGGAGCCTTGCATCTTTTGGGATCTCCTGATCATCTCGACTGCACCTTGGCATTTTTTCACCAGTGTGATCCAGTCCTCAGGTGAAGCTGCTCTGTGTTGAAGATGCTACAGACACCCAGGTGTGCAAGTAGTCAGTGGGGGGTTACAGCCCAGAGAAGGAGGAAGGGCTGGGGTGCCAGGTTAAGAATTGCCAGGGGTGTTTTGAAGGTAGGATGGGTGGAAAGCAGTGTCCAGGAGCCCCCTAAATGCCTGTGAAGGCACCCACTGACTTTTCAGATGTGCCACTTAAGTTTTCCTCTCCTTCCCCCAGATATTCTGTGCAATTACAGCTGCAGTCTTTGGCTGCAGGCAGTGACCCTGGGGGGTTTGCCTAAAGAGAAGGGAGACTCTTGGAGCTCTCCCCCTCTATCTGGGAGACTTTGGTTAGGGTTTCTTTACCATGTCAGGGGGACAGGGTGTAAAGCAGAGTTTGAACAGAACAGAGGCCAGAGGAGCAGAGCAAGAAGGTGGGTCATCACCTGATGGCAGCACAAAGATGTGGCTTCTGGCTCCACGTTTACTCACTGTGTTAAGCATTTTCTTGTTTTGCTTTTTGTTTTCAGCTGCAGAGCCCTGGTCCCAGGAGGCTCTAGGCACCGGAGGGGAGGTGATCCAGGTGAGTCCCAGTGAGCAAGGTGAGCATTGACTCCAGGACAGAACTGGATGGTCTTTTACAGGTGTTGTGGTGAATCTGTGCACGTGCTTTGTTTCTTGTGTTTTCCAGGGGTTCTGCCACCTTCTCACAGACAGTCCAGTGCTTCAGGGCCCCTGCTGGTGAGAGGTCACTGTGGAGGAGAGGTAGGTAGGAGCTCCCCCAGGAAAACCATCCTTTCAAGCAGTATCTCAGTCTGTACCTTTGCCTTTGGCTTCTTTACTTTGCAGAGAATGTGTGCAGCCTCAGAGGGCTGGAGCCACCTGCCAGTTAGGTGTGATGGTCTTCAGCTGTCCTTGTGAGTAATCTCTTAGTACTACCAGGGTCATCAATTAAGGCTGGAGCTTTCCCAGCTGCAGGTGCCATCCAGCCTGCCTTTGGAAAGGAGGAGCACTGAGGTTGAGTCAGGGAGGTGGGGAGGAGGTGCTGGGGTCTCCCTTACTTTCAGAAACACCCCGTAACTTTTTTTCTCACTCCCCCAGGTACGGCACACGGTGATGGCAGCAGCCTCCGACTGGGGTCGGAGCCAGTGGCCCGAGAACCTCTCAGCTCAGGGGAGGGTGAGTAGCCAATTGCAGGGTTATCTCCCACGTGCTGCCCAACTCTTGTCTCAGTTTCTGTTTTCTTTCTCCCAGCGACCGAGTCAGGGATCACAGGACCCTCTGAGCCAGCCGGGCGTCCTTCCTTGGCATCGAAGATGGATTCACATCCCCAGCTGTGGGAAAGATAAGTGGAGGGCTCCCACCTGGAGAGGGGATGGGAGCTGGGTCCAGTTTTATGGTTAGGAGGGAGGGATTGTCAAATGAGCAGAGGGGAAAGGGTCTGCCCTAACAGGCCCTTGGCACACATAGGAGGAGCAGTTTACTTTTCATCATGGAGTAGGATGTGCAGGGCAGAGCAGTTCAGGTCTGTGTCGTGTCCTTTGTCCGGTCTGTGTTTCGTGTCTTACACTTCACAGTCAGGGTGTCTTTGCTTCCTGCCCTCCAAGGTCTTATCTGAGATGCCAAGGCATCATTCCTAGGGTCTTGAACCTCTGCACTGCCCAGCTCAGTGCCCATACCATCCGTTCTTTGGCTCACTAGCTTGGACGTGCATCGGAATCACATCTGAGAAGTGTCAGGTCAGGTGTCTTTTACAGCCTCCTCACAGGTTGTATCGGTGGCTGTGCCGTGCAGTCATCCCTTGTCATCCCACCTGGGACTTGTGAGAATCTAAGAAGATTCTGAGCATAGCCTTGTCTCCCATCCATCTCAGCAATTTTGTGGGCAATTCTTGTCCCAGGCCATTCTGTTAGAGTGTCTTTTCAGGCTCCTCAGAGCCTCCTCCGTTCAGTCTCGCCGTATCCTCCGTCTTCTCGTGCGGCAGCACATCCGTTTTGGCGTCGTTCCTCTCTCAGAGTTCTCTCTCCTCGTTGCACCACAGCCCTTGTCTGGAAATGTGTCCTTGGAGTTTGTGTTGGGCCTGGAACTGCTCTGCCCTGCAGTGTAGACTTGGGGGTAGGTGGAGTAGGAAGGAGACTCTCCAGTTCCCCTGTGGATGGGCTCAGGTCTCAGGGCAGCAGTTCTCCTGGAGGCAGCCCCTGCCTGCAGTGTGTGTGCAGTCACGAGAACGGGCTTTTCCTGAGACCACGGGAGGGGTACGTGGCTGACCTTGCTAACTCATTTCTTTGAGCAGAGTTGAACAGAACAGAGGCCAGAGGAGCAGAGCAGGAAGGTGGGTCATCACCTGATGGCAGCATGGAGATGTGGCTTTTGGCACCTGCAGCTGGGAAAGGTCGAGCCTTAGTTGATGACCCTGGTAGTACTAGGAGATTACTCACAAGGACAGCTGAAGACCATCACACCTAACTGGCAGGTGGCTCCAGCCCTCTGAGGCTGCACACATTCTCTGCAAAGTAAAGAAGCCAAAGGCAAAGGTACAGACTGAGGTACTGCCTGAAAGGATGGCTTTCCTGGGGGAGCTCCTACCTACCTCTCCTCCACAGTGACCTCTTACCAGCAGGGGCCCTGAAGCACTGGACTGTCTGTGAGAAGGTGGCAGAACCCCTGGAAAACACAAGAAACAAAGCATGTGCACAGATTCACCACAACACCTGTAAAAGACCATCTAGTCCAGTCCTGGAGTCAATGCTCACCTTGCTCACCGGGACTCACCTGGATCACCTCCCCTCCGGTGCCTAGAGCCTCCTGGGGCCAGGGCTCTGCAGCTGAAAACAAAGAAAAAACAAACCAGAACAACTAAATCCTTAACACTGCGAGTAAACGTGGAGCCAAAAGCCACATCTTTGTGCTGATGTCAGCAGCTTCACCTTGGGACCGGATCACACTTGTGAAAAAATGTCAAGCTGCAGGTGAGATGAGCAGGAGATCCCAAAAGATGCAAGGCTCCTAAGGAAAAGAAAAAAAGATAAAAAATTACAAAAGCACCTTACCAACACAGCACACAAAATTATTAAATTTAAAACCCCTGCATGTGAGTGTAATCCTCTTCATTGCCATCTACAGCTCTGCTTCTTTGGATGCCAAAGCTGATGCTTCAATAAAGCAGGAATAGCTTGAGCAGTCCCATTAAATGAAAGAAAGGGAGAGCTCTTATCCCATTGAAGCCCGGCTGCTGCGTGCCCTCCCTGAGCAAAGGCTGGGATAATGTACCCCTGGCCGTGCCCACCTCCCTTCCTGTGAGGCCCTGGGCAAAGGGGGCAGCCCAATCTCAGAAGGTATAAAGGCTCTGGGAGCAGCAGCACCTGTGTGGCATCTCTGACTTAAAATCAGGATGAGTGAAGAGCCTGATGGAGAAAAGGACTCTTAATGACAAGAGGTATTACAGTTGGTATTGGATTTAGTATTGGAATTTGTATTTGGGATTGTGACTTGTAAGAAAATGAGAGCCCTTCCCTTCATGACCGAAAGCCTGTAGGTGCTGGGTGTCAGGTGCAGGTGGGAAAACTTTCTGTGTGTGTGGAAAGGGTTTTGTTAGCTTGCCCCAGCCCTGCGCTGAAACTGCACCCGACTCCCCAAGGCTGGAGCCTTTCTTTCCTCGGGCCAAGGGTGGCGGTTGCTTTCGGAGCCCAGCAACGCCACAGCAGGTCTTACTTCCACAATTAACGTGAAGTCCCCTCCCTGCGCAGCTCCTCCGCTCGCAGAGGGTAGGAATCCCCGGGGCAAAAGGTCTCCCCCAGTGCCTGGCGTTGTGTCCAGAGCCCCCCTCCCTGCCCGGGACACACGGGCTGTGTTCCTGCCCTTCCTGGCAGGCGCCTCTCCCTGCCTGGAGCAGCCTCGCCCTGCGCCGGGGGATGGCTCGGGGCGGCTGGGGCGGCTCGGGGCGGGATGGAGCGGCTCGGAATGGGCTGGGGCGGCTCGGAACAGGATGGAGCGGCTCGGAATGGGCTGGGGGGGGGGCTCGGAATGGGCTGGGGGGGCTCGGAGCGGGATAGAGCGGCTCGGACTGGGATGGAGCGGCTCGGACTGGGCTGGGGCGGCTCGGACTGGGCTGGGGCGGCTCGGACTGG